AAGATGACCACGATTCTACACGTCCCCGTACCAGTTCGTATTCGTAGTTAACACATCAAAATACATTTTAATGGCTGCAACTGTTTAATTTCCTATTAATGTTATCGGTTTATCTAGTCTCGACGCTGCAGTTAAAAAATACGCAATTACAATGATCCAAATGGCCAAACTACACTGGTGGGACGCAAATTCACTCATTTGCATGACCTATTGTGCTTTGAACCTTGTTTTTGTTTTGATAAATTATTAAAATTATTCTGTCTGAACGAAAACCATTGTTTAAAAATGATAAATCAAGTTTTTGATAAAAATTAACTGTATCTTTTCTAAAAATGAGTTGCGCATTCAGCATACAAGTGTAAGCATTAATGCATTCAATATTGCATTTAATGTATTGCATGTCTTTATCACATGTTGTGTCTACATGCTGCACAAAGTGAGTACAAATGTATTAAAAACAGTTTTGTTAAAAAAAATATGCAACGATAATGATATGACATGGTCCTATCAAAGATCAAATTGTAAAAGTGCCCCGAGAGGAATGCCTTAATTTTGAAAGAATTCGTTTTTAATTAAACAAATATATAAGCATTTTATTTCCAACCATACCTTGAGTCGTGATTAAAAGCAGCGTCAGGGTCAACGTTAATATCCTTAATAACATCTTCAGTTTTGTTTTCATCAGGTCTAGGTGCACGCCAAACTTCCTCCCCTCTGGCCTATTTCGTCACACGGTTACAAACTACATGTCCAAAGTCTGCAATGCATACTTTCTTTATAGCAGTCTATAAAAAGTTCAAGCACTTGAAAACTTTCAGTCAAAAAAAATCGTTATGATTGTAAACATCTTGATTTAATATTTTACTAATGAGCGTTATGTACTCTCTCTTGTCTAGACGCTTACATGGTGTTTTATTAATTAAAAGAGTTGTGCTCCTGACATCGATCTTTTACTTAACCCCTAATCTGTAACAAAGTTGTGTTTCTTTTGTAATCTAGCTGTAACAATAACATTTATCATTTGGTGTCTAGTTACACAAACAATTTTGATATGCGCAAAAGTAAAGAAACAAATTGGGAATTTTACGAAAATGATAATAAGTTTTCAATTCATTTTAATTGCTCACAGCATTCCTTGCCGTAGGTTTTCTAAAATGCTAAGAATTCTGACTTCTGACTGTATGAATTCGACTGCAATAAATGGTTCGATTAAAATATAGACTCCGAAATGGTGGGAGAATCAGGGGGGGGGGGTAAAAGAACATTTTCCTCGTGCGTTCGATTAACGTTTGGGACATCGTTGATTTGTTTTTGTTTGGCTATTGTTTCTACTTGTGTGTGTATTCCCTTTTGTAACATTTTGTGTTACATACGTTGAACGCCGACCACGACTACAAAAATGGTGGCGAAACAATTTGTTACCAATTCTTGAAATTGAGATAAAATGATTATCAATTGGATACTAGCTACTTACTAGTGTGATTACGTAATGCGCAAGATTTTGTCATGTTGGTACTGGTTCCTAAATTTCAAAAAAGTGTTATTTATGTCTATTTCAAAACTTGAAATATGAAATGTTTGAAGTTTTGAAATTGATATCTAAAAAAAACATTTTTGAATTTTGAGACCTTGGATAGGTACCATACCACGATACCACCATATACAGGATTTATTCCTCGGGCCGGATATATGTCTTCGGTTCCTGCGGTCTCTGGGTGATACAGTTTTTTCTATTATGATAAACCCTATATCCAAAACCTCCTTGCCGATATGCACATTGTACTGTTTTGTATTGTATTGTTTACTTTCAGTCTGCGAATGCTGTCTTGTAAAGGCCTATTGCCAACAATCGGATGATTTGAGCTTCAATTAACACTAAAAGTGACGCCTTTGCTTGATTTACAAGACCAACGTGATAAGATACCTAAGACAAAGACTAGAGGCCAATTTCACAAAAACAATACTTTTGCTTTAACACAAAAATAAAACTTCCGACCCAATGGTTATTTCATGATTGTCCTTCGATTTTAAACATTATCTGACAATTTTGCAAAAGTGGAGCACGGACGTCTTTTTGAATTCTGACATTTCTGCATTTAAATCTTCAATAACTTCCATATTTGATCAGATGGATGCCTTACAACTTGAACAAAGCACTAATATGTCAAATATCACCACTTGTTACAGACAAATGCCGCCAGCCGAACACCAAACGCCAAACACCGTCCACAAAAAGTTGGAGATTATAACAATTAGCTACCACTTGCGGTGGGGACATAATAAACCCGATACAAGCTATATACATGCCTAGTAGCATTCTGATACTCATAGCATCTCTCTCTGTTGCATCGCAGATCCAGATCCAGAAGGATAGAGATGGAGAGGGCGTGGATTACCACGATGGCCTAGTAGTATAAAAGCGTTCTCATATTTTGCCATTAAGCATCAAAAATGTAAAAATGGAATTGAAATAGCAGCTAGTTTAAGACGAGGTAATAAAAAGCCCTGTCTATTATTTTAAGTTATGAAATCTTCCTTCTCACGAGTGAAGGGCGTAACAGGCGGCAATGTTGGTGTGACATTTGGATAGTCATGTTAACATAACCCTTCCATTGAACATGACTTAGTTCACATATGGATCATTACAGTATTGTGGATAATAATTTCATCACTCCACAAAAAATATTTTATTATCACAGCCGCTAAATCCTTTCACTTTCAAATCATGGACGGTACCCCTATTCTTTGAGAAATTCGAATTGACAAAAGAAAGAGCCTCCCATTGACTGGCCGACTTATCTTGGGCCACTTATGTTATCTCCCGGTGCTTCTAACATGATCTAAGTATGGTGTGATGTCTCCCACTGAAAGGGCTGCGGTTAGCATCTGCATGCTTTTGTTTAAAAAAACTCACTTAGATTTCTTTCTGCGAATCTAGGTTGCAGCGACCTTTCTAAAGCACAATTATTTGAGGAAGTTTCATATTTTAAGTTTAAACAGCTTCCTTATTGGAGTGTTATTATGGACCTACTTTTTGAATCCACTAAACTGAAAAATGAAGACTATGTATGTAATTAGTTTTGTGTACCAAGAAATTAACATTTAGAAGATTAGGGGTTATACCTTAATTCTTTACGTGATCCATGATTTTAAATAAATGATAATGTAGCCTCCACATTTCAGTTCGACATAATGCGTCCTATTTTCAATACATTATGCTAAAAAGGCTATACCTTAATGGACACAAAAAATCAATATAGAAAATCTACATCGGACTGCTTATCCATATTCTTCATGCAAACTTGCCCTTGCAAAACATTTACCAATTCAATAATTCATATTTCGCGGTTTCGCCAGGTCTGAAAACGTTGCATATTATATGTTATATATTTTCATGGTGGATCAAAGAGAGGAAGGAATTGATGCATGTTGCTACATGACTAGAATGTCCAAATATATTTAGTTGCATTAAGTTTTGGATGGTCCAACAAGGTTTTATATGGAAGTCCTATGTTGGCTGTTTTTATGTTCAACAGTTGAGATAAGATGTACCCTCTTAAAAGATATTTCCAATTTATCCTGACGCCTTTTGGCAACCCAAAGAACTATGACATATCATTAAGGGTGTCACCCTTTTCAGCAAGAATGTTTGTAAAAAAAGTAAAAATTCCCTGAAAATATGCAAAGTTTATCAGATCCTAGTTCTCCCTTGAAAATGTGAGAATGATGTCATAATTAAATTAAATTATTTCATATAAAGTTTCACCATATTCAATACAGTAACACCAGATTTGTCTGATAAGATTCAATTTATTCCTAAATCTATGCTCTAAAATTATACAAAATATCACTATAAACTTCGTTATATCATAATTAATAATTTTGAATTCATTCAACTTTGGCAATTTTCTCATTATTTTATTTTGAGTATAAGAAAGCATTAAAACACAAAGAATAGCATATACATTAACAATATTAATAAGTATTAAAGGAGGTAACCGATATGGTATAGGGAACTGACCTGTGTATGAAGATCCATAAAGGCTTGCAAGGTTTAAACTCTTGCGCGGTGGAGTCATAATACCATTATGGTAAGCAGTTAAATATTGGATTTGACTTTCAGTTTCCATTTCAGGAAACAATGTTTATACAGTTTATGAATATCACTGATTCGATTATTATGATGAGTTAATCAGCTTAAATGTTACTGTTGATAAGAAATAATAATAAAATGACAATACACCACAACCAGTATACAATTATATAACAACAAGAAAGATATACAAAGTCAGTTTCTTAGGCCGAAGCCTATGTATGGTTTTCCAAACGTCAAAAGTTTTCAAGATGGTTTCTAGGGAATTGGATTGCAATCCAAATCCCAGTGATCTCTTCAAGATCGACGCCTCTTCTAAATTCGCCTTGTTGAATTGCCACAGTCCCAAAGATTGTGGTCTATATCGCCAAGTTGTGATCGGACTACTCGTCAATGACTGTTTCTTCAACTTTGACGAGAAATTCGATGGTTTCGTCTGCAAGGTCGTCTTCATCCTCATCCTCTCCCATCCCTGAAACATAAATATAACACCTTGTATATATATAATTCTACAAATCGTTTGATCACCATTTGTATTTTACACTCATATATTGAACTATTTTCAATAGTTGTCAAAAATAACTAGAAAAACAGCAACTCCACGGAGTAGCAAATCCCACCGAACAGCCACCTTGAAAATTTCTTCTCAAGCAGATCTCCTTGATCTATAGGCATCAGTATATAAAATTTGAAGTAAATCCGTCCAATGGTATTTGAGTTATCAAAGATTACCTTTTTTATGAAAAATGGCAGCCATTTTGAAATTCAGCTGACCCCTTTGAAATTTCTTCTGAAGCAGATCTCCTATTTCCCTAAACATCAGGATATAAAATTGGAACCAAATTCATTCACTGGTATTTTAGTTATCAATGATTATGTTTTTTTTAACGAAAAATGGCGGCCATTTTGAAATTTAGCTGCCATCTTGAAAATCCCTTCTCGAACAGAGCTCCTATGTCCCTAGGCATCAGCATGTAAAATTTGAACCAAATCCATTCAATTAAGATAACATTTTTTACAAAAAATGGCCGCCATTTTGAAATATGGTTGCCATCTTGAAAATGTCTTCTTGAGCAAGGTTCCTTTGTACCCAGGCAACAGCATATAAAATTTGATCCAAATCTATTCAATGGTATTTGAGTTATCAAAGATAATGTTTTTTTACGAAAAATGGCCACCATTTTGAAATATGGTGGCCATCTTGAAAATGTCTTCTTCAGCAGGGCTCCTTTGTACCAGGACAACAGCATATAAAATTTGAACCAAATCCATCTACTAGTATTTGAGTAATCAAAGATTACATTTTTTCCGAAAAATGGCCGCCATTTTGAATTTAGCAGCCATATTGAAAATTCCTTCTCGAGCAGAGGTTCTACACCCATAAGGCATAAGCCTATAAAATTTGAATGAAATCCGTTAACCGGTATTTGAGTTATTGCCCGGACACACGAACGGACGGACGGACGAACGGACGGACGGCTTTTCTATATTCCCCTCGAACTTCGTTCGGTGGGATAATAAGGTATATAGGTTTAGCAATGTATCAGCTAAGGATGCGAAATACTACACATACTGAAACTTTATTTTGTAAATGTAATGAATTATAAGTGTCATAAAAAATAAAATAAATAAAAAAATCCTATATAAGGAAGAAAACATACCAGCTCGAGCATCCATTCTCCAATCCAAGGTCTCTGCAAACATCTGCTCACATTTGCTACGGTAAGCTTCAAAAGAGGCTATCAACTCTCTGCGCTTCTCTATGAGCTCCTACAAAAAGATGGGTGACAATATATGTGAACAGCACCTTACTCAGATATAAGGTGTGGCCACGTTTTTTTCGAGTATTGACCTTCATATGTAAAGTCAAATCAATATCAATGACAGTGAAATTCCTTGTATTCCATATTTTCACACCATAAGATTTTCTTGGGCACAATATTTTCTGTATTTTACAAGAATCATTGAATTCCTTCTATTGCAGGGGTCATCTATAAAAATTGCCTCATAAGATTTCATTTTGTTCATCAGAGATGTGTCAGAATGTGAACAGCTGAATATATAATCATTGGCAAATTATGAGTGACACGCGTATACAAAAGGAGCAAAATCATCCAAATAACAAGTTTAACATTAAAAAACAATTGGAATGACAATTGGAATGGCTTTTAGAAATATGAATATTACATCTTCTCTTTACTGGTCACCTCAAAATATCTAAAATATCAACCCCAATTTAAGGACCCAAAAGTTTGAGAAACTACTGATTTCTAACATAATCTCCAGATTTTTTAATTTTAACCAACCAGGTACACTTTTAAACATTTTTTAAACATTTCATTAAACTGCATCAAACTGTTGTTTACAAGTTATTACATAGCTTACCTTGGAAGCCTTCGACTGACTCATACGATCTTTCAATTCAAACTGAGCACTGTACTTCTTCATGTTGCGCTTGATTTCCTGAAATAGTTAAAATAAAGGTCAGTTTGGGGTCATTTTTATTTGACTTTAAATTGTCACAAAAATACATTTTATTGTATAAATATGATATTGGTAAGCAGTCATACATTGCATGTGGAGAAACAAAATTACTACAAATTAGCTTCTACAAACTAATTTTGGAAATTGAAATTTTGAGTTTTTCAAGCCTCATACGATTTCATGTTGTTCATCAGAGATATTTCAGAATGTGAACAGCTGAATATATAATCATTGGCGTAATGTGGTATCCATATCCGAACTAAATTCCCAGAAATACAATTATTTATCATGATTAAAATAGTTTCATTATTAATGAAATTGCTACTTTCTGTACATAGAATAGTTGATTTCAGAGCAAATATTATCAATCATCCATTTCCCTGAGATATGAGAAACACCAAACTCAACTTTCACACCTCATACTATTTCTAAGATGAGGTTACAAATGAATTACTATACTATACCTTGATCATATCTGTTGTAAGAAGAGAAGCAGGCTTAGGTCTCCATAGCAACTGGCAGAAGCGGTCCATGGGGTGTTTCTGGAGCAGCTTGCCCTGGAAGCTCCAAATCCAGTAGGCATTGTCCACCTTGTGGCCCCACCAGCTGACGGCAGATGAGACGTAACGTCCTGTGGGGTCCCACTCCACATCTGTGGCCATGAAGTGCTCAGTCTGGGCCATAACTGTCATATCAGTAGTGTCTATGAACTCAAGGACCCCATTCATACTGAAATGACAGAAATTTTTATATATCACTGTCACATCGAAAGATGAACAGGTATTATTATATCATTGCTAGAAATTGTGTGATTTGATTGGTCGAGTCAGTACCATGTGATCAAAAATACCATAACGTATTTCACAGCTCCCTCAATTTTAGGATAATAAAAGACGTATTGCCCGGCGTATTGCCCGCCCGGGAATTCTGACAACTACACTGGACGAAAATAAAGTGTACCATTCAATGATACTTGTACGTAATTATGTTCACTTATGGATTAATGATATATTAATTGATTAAAATAAATGATCATAGGGAATGTCTAGCAATGATATAATAAAACAAATATTTCATTCTATGTTCGGGCAATACCTGTTGCACTTTCAATGATTTTTGCATCATGTATTTCCCTCGCCCTACGGGCTGCGGGCAATACATACCGCAAAAATCATTGAAAGATGAACAGGTATTGCCCTCCATAGAATGAAATATTTGTTTATTCCTCTCAATTCTTTGTGAAATATTTGTATATCATTTCAAACTTAAATTGGTTATTTCTTGCAAATTAAATGTTAATTTCATCTTACACTCGTGAGAACACATATTATTACCATTGATTACAACCCAACAGATTTCATTGGTGTCATTATTCAACTTGTGTAATCATTATCTAAATGTATCATGCTTGCTTTGCTATTATGTAAAGTATTAAATTTAAATGAGTGTTAATTCATCGACTGAGAATTGTCAACTATCATTTTCATTGCCTCAGCCCTTTCAACTGGATGTATGCGATCAAAATAATTTGTGGGGAATATATGTGAATCCATCACAAAAACAAAATGCTAAGTTGGCAATTGAAATAACAAGCTTAACATCCATTATAATCAACTATGCCACTCATCACCTCCAAACAAAGACATCTCCTGTTGCTCACCTGCGTAGACCTGCCATGACTAAGAACTGTCCCTGTGGTGACCAGAATAAATGGTTAGCAGTCTTCTTCTCCAGGGTCTTCACAAGGACCACTTTGCCCTTGGGCTCCATGACATACACACTCAAGGAGATACGTGGGTTCTCTCCATGTAAGAATGCAAACCTGTGACCATTTGGCTCCCAGGCAAAAGCACTAATGGGTTCTGAAAATGATGAAAATGAACAATTTGTACAATCTTAAAATCATCATGTAATATATGGCATGCAATCAATATTAAACTGAAGCATTGGTAATTCTTTCTTAGTAGTGGACTAATTGTGTTTTTGGATCTCCTTTGCCACCCCACTGCAATACTTAGGTTATATCTCACAGTCTCACATATGTATGTAATGCAGTTATTTTGTTCAATAGATATTCTTCATACTTTCTGTGAAAATGAGTCTATCAAAAATTGCTTGAACTTTTACAGGGATTCAAGGAACTAGATATATAAGTTAAAACAAATCAGCCTTTTATATGAACTATAAGATTTCTTTATATGAACTTAGACACTGCATTTGTGCATTTAGAAAATAAAATTAATCTAGACGTGGGTTCACAAAATAAAAGTGGAGTTCTTATATCATGTGTGCCTCATACAATTTCATGTTGTTCGTCAAAGATGCATCAGAATGTGAACAGCTGAATGACATAATCATTGGCTTGAACAAATTTATATTGTAACACAAAAAAATTCTAGTTAGATCTCAAAAGGCAAAAGCCTATAAGTAATGACAAAAAAAGTTATCTTTTATTCAAATGGTTGAATATTTCAAAAAATGAGCAAGTTATTAACTCTTCACTTACCTTTGATCTCTAGCTTATCTACTGGGATCTGTTTCTCTCTAATGCGGAACAGTTCAAAATTGTGGTAGAGACCCTAAACATGCAAAAGTACAGAATAGAGTATATCATAAGTAGAATGTGAAAATACAGGGTGTTCCATATGTTTCAGAAATGATGCTCTGTTTTATTGGTTTTCTTTTCAATCTAACTGAATTTTTGACACAATGTGTCTAAACATGATTTGAATAAGTTGGAAAAGTTTCATATCGTGAAGTTCAGTAGTCTTAATTATATGGTTGCTATAGTAACCTAGGAGTAGGGTAGGTGGAGCAGGTGTAACAACGCGCAAAATATATGAAAAATTGGTAAAAATAGTTTTTTTTGTACGAAGTGTGAATAAGTATTAGGTTGTCAGAGCTGGATCAAACTTGTCAGTAATTAAACAAAAATGAAGATGGATTTCAAGAAAGTTAAAAAAATGTCACCACCCTTGATCACATCACAATTTAAACACCTGTCATGTCATGAGTCACAAAGGATAATAAACACAGGGAATTTTAGAAGAGCGGCCATCTTGAAAAGTTAAAAAGTCATTAGCAGATGAAAACCTTCGACTTAGGCAACACACAACAATCTGTGACAAGACATGACATGTGTGAATAACAGTTTTCTGCAGCAGACACAATTAAACTCCTAACGAAACCACATGGGGACTCAATGATGGTAACCTGGAGAGTGTATGAGTGGTACAAGTGGCTCAAATCTGGAAGGGAAACTGAAACCGATTATCCAAAATGTGGACATCCGAGAACAGTGAGAGCGCTGACTAATGCGGAAGGGATAGATGCTGAAATAATGATGATGGCTAATAAAGGGTGTGATAACATTTCTAATTTCCAGGAATCTACCTTTATTCTTTTTAATTTCCAACAAGTTTGATGCGACTATGACAAGTTAATACTTTGGACACTTTATACAAAAACTACTATTTTTACAAAAATGTCATGTTTTGCGCGTTGTTACACCTGCTCCACCTACCCTACCCCTAGGTTACTATAGCAACCATATTATTCAGTCTACTGAGTTTCATGATATGAAACTTTTACAACTTATTCACAACATATTTCGACACATTTTGTTAAAAAATCAGCTAGATTGAAAAGAAAACAAATAAAATACAGCATCATTCCTGAAACATATGGAACACCCTGTATGAGTAAATATGAGTTATATTCTCTTTTATACTGTGTGATGCTATTCAAGAAGAAAGTATTAGACATCAAATTGAAAAGGTACCACTGAAAATCCATCTAAAATTAATGAAACACTGTTGAAAGAAGTAAAAGAAACATGATGAAAATTTGTTTGAATTCATCCAATTTCTGGAACACAAATTGGAACAGATACTAAAAGCTGATATTAAAAATAATGTAAATTTCAGGCGAATAATGTAGTCTTAACAAAGAACACTTACGCTATATTTATTACTATCCTTCTCTCTACGAATCTTTGTGTAACGATCAACCTTCACCCCGAGATAGTCACCATTTTTCTGCCAATGCATCTTACAATCTGCGACGTTGAACAGATTCTTGGTGCTGAGGTCACGCCTGGATGGTATCTCAATCAGCGTCACTCTAGCTGGGATATTGCCATCCTCAGGCACCCAATAACTCAAGATATTGTCGCTAGGACTCCATGAAAAATCTCTAAAAAATGAAAATGTTTGTTTTCTTAGAAATTGAAAGTTCTAGAACACTTGAAAATTTGAGAAATGGCTTCATTAAATTGTAGATATTAAAATATTTTAACCATCATGTGTTTAACATCTTTTTGATTTTGTGGAACTTTTTTTAGCTTTAAGAAGTGGCTTCATAAAATTGTTGAAATCAAAATTTCAAATACTCCAAAATTGCTCAGAATTTGACTAAATAATGTTTTAGTAATGTGAACATTTTGTTATTTCTTATTCAACAATAATTATTTTCTAACTACTGTTTAATGAGGCTTACTTGATATTAGAGATCTTCATGCTTTTCTTGTCTAGAAGACCGAAAGACTGGAATGAGAAAAAGTAGCACATAAAATAAATTACATGTACTCGTATTACTTATACAAAATCATCTATAATCTACTTGCAAGTACACATTAAACTTTCTTATTACATTGATCAGAGGATGTCTCCAAAATTATTTTGTATAATTTAATCAGTCGCACTACACAAGCAAGTGTGAGCTGCCTGAAAACAATTATTTTGGGGATATTCCATAATTTAAAGTGAACTTACTGGTGTTTCATAGATGCTGAGTGAGTCAGGTCCACTCCTACAGAAATATTCTCCACTTGAGCTCCACCTATTAGACATAAATAAATACATTATCAGTCGAGTAAAGTTTACTGGTCAACCTAACATTGATTGGGATTCAACACTTCAAAATAAATTATTTGAATGGTATGATTCAAACGCTGATGCCTGTATGTATGTAGAACGCTAACTGGTATGGACAAATGGATAAATGTAAAACTCCATTGGCATATCTTGATGTTTGGATTGTGATTTAACATTAAAATTTTGATAGTGCTTAAATATGAAAATATCTCATTAAAAATGAGAGCCTTCAGCTAGATCTCATAACTACGTATATAGCAAACAGTTAATCAAATGAATCAATTATAAAGCACACATCACATTTTTGTCATTAAATCAGAACTTAATAACAATACCTAAAGTGTCGATAACTATTTTGAATAAACCTACTTGAATATGGGCCAGACTGAAGCATTTTCACAGTGGAAGCCTCGTTTCTTCTTTCCTGTCCTGATGTCCCAGATAATGATGGCCTGGGGCTCTTCCTTATTGTCTGGTAGGGGGCTAAATGTTACCACATACCTGAAATAATAGATCATTGGCATTGTAAATAGAGTATAAAGATTAATTATCAAATGAGAAATATATTTGCAAAAAGCAGCATGGTTGATAATCCAGGAATTTATTAGTATATCAATGAAAAGAAATTATAATTGTATATTCATGGTTAAAACTCCACCCTAACATCAGAATAACCACAAGATTTTTTAGAAAACGTGCATACTATTTCATTTACTTATTGTACATGTTATAAGAGAGCTGCAAATACCTTTCACAGGGAGAGAAGTCTATGAGTTGTACCCCAGTGTGGCTGTATCTCATGATCTGCTTGAATTTCTCCCCTCCCCATAAAGCTATACCTTTACCATGGAAGGTTGCTAGGTAGGTTCCCTTGGGGGACCAGCGCACATATGTCTCTGTCCAGCGCTGCAACATTACAACATACAATTTAAGAGGGACTTGAGTCTGTTGACAAAATACAAACCAGAACAACGGCAACGCCAAAGCGTAGCGAATCCCATCGAACATTTTTCAAAAGGGGCACCTTCTACCAAAAGTGTCATTAGACAGTGTGCCATGCTTATAATATTCACATACCAAATATGAACAAAATCGCTCTACTACTTTTCGAGTTATAGTAAAATACGTTAAAATGGTGGCCATTTTGAAAAATGGCCGCCTTCTACCAAAAGTGTCATTACACAGTGTGCCATGCTTATACGTATTCACGTACCAAATATGAGCAAAATCGCTCCACTACTTTTCGAGTTATAGTAAAATAAGTTAAAATGGCAGCCATTTTTCAAAATGTCCGCCATTTTTCAAAATGGCCGCCTTCTACCAAAAGTGTCATTAGACAGTGTGCCATGCTTACAGTATTCACATACCGAATATGAACAAAATCGCTCCACTACTTTTCAAGTTATAGTAAAATACGTTAAAATGGCGGCCATTTTGAAAAATGACCGCCCTCTACCAAAAGTGTCATTAGACAGTGTGCCATGCTTATACGTATTCACATACCAAATATGAACAAAATCGCTCCACTACTTTTCGAGTTTTAGTAAAATAAGTTAAAATGGCGGCCATTTTTCAAAATGTCCGCCATTTTTCAAAATGGCCACCTTCTACCAAAAGTGTCATTAGACAGCGTGCCATGCTTATAGTATTCACATACCAAATATGAACAAAATCGCTCCACTACTTTTCGAGTTACGGCAAAAATCGTAAAATAACGAGAAAAGGCCGCCATTTTTTAAGATGGCTTCCGTGTGCTTTTTTAATATCTACATTTCTAGCTTTATTAATGTCCTATATAATTTTTTTACATTTAAAACATATTGCTATTACAGTTTTACATATTGCACCTAAATTACTGTAAAATCGGCACTAAAATGGCCGCCATTTTTAAATGAGCGGCCATTTTGAAAATCGGCTTTCGAGCAGAACTTCTACCCCCATAGGGTATATGTATACAAAATATGAATAAAATCGGGCCAACGGTATTTGAGTTATTGCCCGGACGGACGGACATACGTACGGACGGACGGACGTACGTACGGACGGAGGCGTTCCCTATATCCCTCCGAACTTCGTTCGATGGGATAATGAGCAATATCCAATTCTTGTGAAACCATAAAGGTCACCTGTATTTACAGGAATGTTGAAAACAGCCTGCATATGCTGGCAATCAGTACACTGCCCTAATAGCTTGTATTTTAGGTTGATAAGGCAACCATGGTTCTTTTTCATATTCCTGATAGTATCAAATGAAGAATATTGGATTGTATTTCTGCCATGTTTAATGACACACCCCAAACCTCACATTTTAAGATAACCAATGACAAATCATGAAAAGTACTCACCGCCCTCTCCTCCAGGAGTGAAGGTTCAGTTGGGTTATTGAGTAAGATAGCAGTTCTCTCCCCACCATCATAAATGACAGAATACTGGTCAAGGCAATCCTCCTGGGTTAGCCAGCTGTGCAAGTTACCCTTAAAACAAGCAAATCCTTATTGGTTAACACATAAGACAAGCAAACTTTTAAATTAACATCTAAAACAGCCTAATTATTTTAAAATCATGAATTATCTTGATATATTAATGGTACTGATTTATTCATTGAAACATCAATACAGAAATGTCCAATAAATCAATTGACCAGTATTTGAGATGAATGGACAGATGGACGGACACACGGCTTCTATATCCTCTTCTGTTCATTTGGTGGGATAATCGATTCAGAAGTTGATATAAACTTACAGGGTCTTTGAATGGTTGGGCTTCTGGTGGTTCCCAGTCATCTTCAACATCCGAATATCTGAAATAACCAAAGGATTTAACTGATATACATATATTTAAGAAATACTCGTGACCAAAGTGAGAACAGGGTGCTGATGCCTGTTGAGAATTTGAAAATCATTCACCAATTTTAGTTTTTTCTTACTCAGAAAAGATGAAATTAGAATTGCGAAAATTCCGGAGATCTCTAAGGACACACAGATGCATATTTTTAGTCTACAGATATTAAATACATTTGTAAAAACATCTGATAAATGTCACTTACTTTTCAAAATCTGAGAAAAGATTTACTGCAAATGTATGCTGTCTGTCCAGCTTGTAGCCATTGGTCATCTTTACAGCTTCTGCAGCATTGTTGGGGGAGCTATACTCCAGGAAGATGTACCTAGAATAAATTCAATAGCTTTATAAATGAAATAACATCATTGTTAATCACAATTCAGATATTGTCCATTTATATTGCCGAAATGTTTCAAATAAGCTACATATTTTATATTGTTTTTTGGTAACCTGCATTTACCTTCTGAATTTGGACATACATGTAATTAGTAAAATAATCAATGCTACAAAATAGTAATTAAAAGAAAGCTTGAGACTTACCCTTTTGTGGAGCCATCCTCTCCTTTTGGGTAATGTTCATTAACAATCTTTCCAAATTTGGAAAAGATTTTACGAATGACATTTTGTAGTTTTTCCAATCTCTCAACCCCAACAGAAGGTATATTGTCAACTACGATGACTGAGTCAATGCCATCTGTTTCTTTTGGCTTTTTGGCTAAAAGGTCACCCAGAAGTTCTGAAAAACATTTGGATATGACAGATACAGGCAAACCAAATCATGAGGAGATGGGGATAAAAGATTGATAGTTTTTAAGTTAATTTTGGAGTTTTACTTCTATGTGAATATAAAACGATGTGCAAATTATGCCAAGACACTGTCGTATCATACTCGAGTCTCTTGCCAATTCTTGGCTAGAAGTAATTCCATCTGGAACACCATGAACTATTGTAAAATATTTAGCCGCCGTTCAATAAATTTAAGCAATACTCTAAAAACCGTCCTATTAATATTTCAAGAATTGAAATGGTAACAGCTTGTCTTGTTGATGAGATAATGAACGTTTTCATTTAAAATAGACGTCGTCCCATTCTCCATTTTGAAAGCATGCCTTATTTCCGCTATAGCGAAAAGACAAGATGGCCGCAAAATGGTTTAAAAAAAAAAAAGATGGCCGCGCTTGTTATAAAATATTTTGTTCAGTTTTATTTTAATTTTTGTGAGTAAATATCCTGTGAAGTAGACGAATGTATGAACTAGGACTGCATGTTAAGATCAATGAAGGTGAGTTTATTATGTTTACATAAATAAAAATAAGACGGCTGGGCAATTTAAAGGGAAATTCAAAACAAAATAGAGTGTCTTATTTATATTCTATGGCCTGGCACACTCAGTGGCCATAGAATATGGTTAGAGTCCATTTCACTGCTTCATTTCGTCAGTAGAACGGCAAAAATAAGAAATTGGGAGACCATTGTGCAATAATATATGGAAAAGTATATTCATAATGTACATGAATGACATTTGTATATTTCAGATTTTTTAGTTTTTTGTGCAATAAGCCTGTGCCGTCTTGTAATTTGAAGAATTTCAGCCATGTTAATCTTATTGAAAATAACATGGCAGAGAAGCATCCAAATATAAGAGGCCACACACTTCATAAGCTAAACTAGAAGCAATCCAAGATATACAAATGTCATTCATGTACAATAGGAATATATTTTTCTATATATTATTGCAAAATGATATTTTGATTTCTTATTTTTTAGCTTTTACTGACGAAGTTAAACAGTGAAATGGACTCTAGTCGTATCAACTTATCAAGGCGGTTTGTTTATTTTTTGTTTCTTTTCATGTGTGGTCCGAAGGGGGTTCCGAAAGTTCTGATTTCGTGAGACAAAAATCCAATTCCGAACTGATTCAGGCACAGCCCTTTGAAAACATGGCTGAGTGACAAGTCATGTGACATCAACTAGTAACTAGACATGTGATCAGACGTGTGACTGGCAAAATGTACAATCTAAATTTCAAAGAATTCTAAGATCCATATCGGTATGTTGTTGCCTTCATTGCCATGTTTGGCTGAGTTCCACAATGCAACCTTGTCCGATAGATGACATAGAACATACTGTTAGTAGATACATGGTTACATCACATCATTTCGTTATTTTATCCATATGATTGAACTGCTTCCCAGAAAAGTTGGGCGAGTCCCACTACGGTAGACTATATCCTATTTAGTCTGAATTATATTCAGACTATAAGGCACCTATGTTAAAGTTTGGTAATTTTAAATATTTGTTTACATAGGAAGTGCTATTCAAAATGGCCGATTGGGTAAAATTAATTTGCACATTTGTTACTTCAACTAGCTTTATTTCCACTTGACAATATGCTGTGTTACTTTTTATTACATTTAATTGCACCTTACTACTTAATTGAGATTTTGTAATGTTTATTTTACTGAAGAAATGGTTCCTCTAATTGATAATTTTGTGCAAAAAATTTCACTGCAATTTCCACAGGAAAGTAGTACATCATAACAGACTGACTTCTAGTCAGTCTGTTGGATACATACTACCCACTACGGGTACCCTTACAGTTGGGGACAAAAATAAATAAATGACAGGTCGATTTTCGATCACCATTTCCTAATTATGGTGGTCTGAAAGCCCATAATTTCCAATATTGTCTAGATACATATCCCTTAAGGTCTCATGGAAGTTAACAGGAAGTGACAAAACAAAAAATGACAAAGCCATGCTGGATTTTGAAAATTTTTTGAACCAAGATAACAGAGTTCTGTTTGGACCTCCAGTCAGTTTAACTAGTTCCACATATCATTTACATGACCAGGAACACAGTTGAAATGGTCAGAATGACCATAAACATGATAGAATAACCTTTTCAGCCCTCTGAAAATGTGACTAAAAAATAGCTAAGAGTAGGTGCTCAGGAAAGGTCACTGAACAGAATATTTTGACTTTTTCAGAAAATGTGCCCAATATATTGCTCTAAATGATACAATTCAAAAAAATTTGATATCATTCTTAGAAAAAGAAAAAATTGAAAAAAACTGAATTGAAAATCGATCTATTTTCCTTTTTACTACAGCCATTATTGTTTCAGACGATTTTTTTAAATTTCAAAGATTGTGTCATTTAGAGCAATATATTGGACACATATTCTGAAAAAATCAAAAGATTCTGTTCATTGACCTTTCCTGAGCACCTACTTTTAGCTATTTTTCAGTCACATTTTCAGAGGGCTAAAAAGGTTATTTTATCATGTTTATGGTCATTCTGACCATTTCAATTGTGTTCCCGGTCATGTAAATGATATTTGGAACTAGTTAAACTGACTGGAGGTCCAAACAGAACTCTGTTATCTTGGTTCAAAAAATTTTCAAAATCCAGCATGGCTTTGTCATTTTTTGTTTTGACATTTCCTGTTAACTTCCATGAGACCTTAAAATTTGTATATTTTACATTTTGTATAATCTCATCCACTGATTTATGTAAATTCTCTTATTTTTAACATGGGAAATCCTCACTTCAGCAAATCCACCTGTCATTTATTTATGTCCCCAACTGTAGTGAACTTATTTTGTTATGCAGATCAGTGCTCATACATTCTCATAATCAATTGATTTTGAACAAGTATTTAAAATTTCATTTTAGCTTCACCTTAGTTTTGACAGTAAAAATATATAGGCTTAAGACTAGAGAAAGGAAAAATCATAAAATGAATGAAGTTTTTTGAACGTCACCATATTGATGTCATTTTATCACTAAAATATAGAGTTATACCTTCATCTGTAATGTCATCTACGAAGTCCTCTTCATCACTGAAGTCGATGTCACTATCGATCCCGTTTTCTTGCATTGCTCGGTCGCTAGATTCACTTTTAGTGTGACCTCTCCCGCCACCAGCTTCTGTCCAGTTGTCGTCCATCTTGAAAACGAAGAGGGAACATGTGGCATGACGAAAAATCACAATAAATAAATCAATATTATTTAGTATATAGTATGGCAGACATGTTATATTTTATTGATAAATTACATGGTTATACATTGTTTCTAGTAGAGATAACTAGTAGAGAAATTAAGGAAAATATCAAAACAAATGAGTAAAATCTCGGTAAAATGTAAACAATAATTTTTCTAAAACTTTTTGGACATCGCGTGGTAGAAAAAATATTTGAGGAGTGAATAATTCAGAAAATTTGATTGGGTATTTATTCAAGGACGTTTGTAGAGGTGAGATAAAGATGTCGTTTTTCTTTTTACAACACATATTTGTCGAATAGATGCATTCATACAATGATCCTTCTTGTGATTATTATAATAAATTGTAATTTAAGGGCTATGTCAAATGGTTATCCATGTTTAGATATGATTGATGATGAAATGTAGCAGAAATAATTGTTCAAATAATCATTTTGATTTTTCAAGATGTAAAAACTAAAGTGAAAGTGAAACCAAAACTTGGCAAAAGTACCAGTCAGTCCAAGACAAGACAATCTCAGGTTTTGGTCTTGCAAACCTTCCATAGAACCTTACGTTATATTTGAAGAGCAAAATTACTGAAATGAGATAACATGTAGTTTCTTCTATATGCTCGTTGTACTTGGAAATAATACCCAAAGTTGATGGTGGACATTTTGAAATAATAGCTTAGCTAATTCAAACAATTAAGATCTATAGCCGCAACTTTGAGAGAACGTTTAGGCTGGTGTTTAGAATACTATTGGGATGAAAAATATGTACATAGCTAGCGCTGATCTTTTTCGTCTTTTGAAATATTATGTGTGGTTCTATTGTATAGGCACAAGACCAAAATGTAAAGATGGTCTCGATACTAGATTAAGTCTGAGGAGGATTGGATCCTTGGGTTGGGTCCTATTCCCAGGGTTCCAACTCAATATTTTAAACTCCAAGCAATTTGAATTTATTCAGTGCTGATTTCTCAAGCAAAGAGCACATTGTACATGTAAATGAACTGCAAGGAGAATGCCAGGGAGAATGGCCGATGATATTCTAGCAATATGGATGACACCAAAGAGGATTGGCTCCTGGGGTTCCAGCTCGATATTCTGCCATATTTGGAGTAATGTCATGATTTCAATATTCAAGATTAAACAGCTGCCATTTTTCACTTCAGAAATTGAATCGCCAGTTTTGGTCTTCCTTCCGAACAAAAAATTTCAATGCACACACCTCGCAGTTTATTTGTGTGTTCTTTGTCATAGGAATCAGTACTGAACAACTTGTTTGAAGATTACAAATATTGAGTTGGAACCCAGTGGGATCCAATCCTCCTTGGACAAAAATCTAGTTGTTGTCTGATAGTAGTAACCTGGATACAAAATCATAATCATTGATCCAAAAGATTTGAACTTCTATCTTGAAATCTTCTTGATGAAATTTTTTGTATGGAAATAAGACCAAAACTCACGATCCAAATTTTGAAGTAATCTTTTTTTGTAATCACGCCATGATTCCATATATGGTAGAATATGGAGTTAGAGCCCTGGGAGCCAATTCTCCTTGTAGTCAGTCATGATTCTAGCTTCTATTTACAAATGCATGTTTCTGTCATCACTACTGTAGTTGATTGTTTTAATCATTTGCTTGTATGATCACATGAAAATGAAAGCCACTTCTTCAAATGTTTTCAGAAATTGGTTGACCATCATTGAGATACTAAGCTAGCCTATATAGGCTTACCCAAGATGATGCATACATATAAGCTTAGTACATATAACCTATGGCTCTGATGCATCTAAGTACAACTTAAAAGGGGACCTGTATATCTAAAGTTGCACCAGATTTAAACACAAGGCAATGAACAGTGATAATGGTTGGTTACCATCCCACAAAGTATGAGTTGACCAAAAGAGATCATGCAATTTCTGGTGCCGTCAGTGGGGTCATCACACGTGCCATGTGTCAGCCACTAGATGTCATTAAAATACGATTTCAGGTAAATAACCAGTGTGATATCATGAAAAAATTATTAGTTTGACCAATTTAGACATATCTGTATTATGAATCTAAATTAACAACTCTAATTAATATAAGATATTGTAGACTTTTTTGATATTTCTTTTTTGTTATCACATTTATTCCTTCTCATTTTTTACTGCCTCTTTAATTAGACAGATTCAAACTTTTTTAATTAGCGCAATGGTAAACCTGCATTTACAATGGTGCATTTACCATCCTTCTTCTTTAATTGGAAAAATATTTCAATTGAAAAATAATTTTTAAAAAAGCAGAATAACAGATTATTTTTTATGAGTTCCTCAAGTGAACTATACCATACTTCTAATAAACACACATCAACAAAGTGTTTTCATTGTTAACCAAAGATTTGAAAAGTGAATCTTAATAATGTCTGGTTTATCATATAAAGTCCTTATTAAATACCCAAGTATTTTATCTACCTTGTCAAAGTTTGATCTAATATGTGCATATGTAGACTCTTAGAGCTAAGAGCATGTACAATTATTTCTTATTAGTGATATGAGCACTGAATGCTCTTGTACACCAAGGGGTATCTAGCACTATAATATTAATTTCAAAGATATAAAAAATGTTTGGGGAATTGATCTCATTCATAATGCATTTTATTAAATGTTACAGTTACAGATTGATCCAATTAAACCGTCACATAGTTCAAAATACCATGGAATAAGACAGGCCATAAGTTGTATTGTAAAAGAAGAAGGTGTCTTAGCTCTGTGGAAGGGGCACACTCCTGCTCAGTGCCTCTCTGTAGTATATGGCTGTGTTCAGGTGTGTAACTACTTTGATGCACGATGCAAACTGTTTGGATCAGTGTAAGTTTTCTTTTCATCATTATACAAAAGAAAGCAAGAAATTGGACCTAAACATAAAGAAGGCAATTTTGAAATGATTTTGCTTCATGATTTTGATCGGAAATATTGGTTGAAAATCAAGATGACTTGCACTGTGAACAAACAATTGCATCTAAAATATGATCTGGATAGAAAGTGCCATGGTCAGTTTTCATTTTATAACTTCAAAGGCAAACTAATCTGTTTGTTTGATGGAACAATACATCACTAAATTATGTAACAATAAAGTAAAAAATGGCTTCTGAAATTTTTAATGAAAACTGACCATACACCAAAACTTTCTATCGAGGGGGTATTCTGTAATAAAACTCAAATATGCTTCTTTTTTAGTTACAAACAGAACCCATATCTAAAGCACCGAAATCAAAATATTACAGTATCAGACAATCATTCAGGTCTATAATACGGGAAGAGGGGTATCAAGCTTTGTGGAAAGGCCATTTAACGGCACAGTTGTTCACAGTTGTATATGGCCCTGCTACGGTAAGCTAGTAGGATAAGATGGGAATATGGGAGGGTAGGGCTACTACCACTGTGAATGGAAGCCCTGGGAAAGATTCACCATATGGCACAGTGCTCTCCTTAGGTTTTTCTCATCAGCTTGCTTATTTCTTATTTTATCTGTTTTGTTTTTATGCATTAACATGTACAGTAAAACCTGTCTAAATGGAATACCTTTGGTACTTCTAAAAAGTGTTCCACTTGGGAGGTGGTTCATATGTAGCATTGTCATTTGGTCTCAAATAGTGCTCTATTAACAGAAGTGTTCCACCTTTAGAGGGGTTCCACTTTACAAGTTTCATTGTACATTTACATAACTGGACATTGGAAAAGTGGGGTCTGTCTTGCCTCATTGTCAACCTTGACCCAGGTTAATAACTCTTGAAGTGGAACAACACCAAAGTGGAACATTTTTTTATGTTAAAGGCTGTGTTGTTAAGTCGGATACTTACCACATTGGTTCTCTTATGCTTTTTCCAGATTCATGTCATCGTAACACTAGCAACACTTACAATTGAACTAAATATCATAATAATAATAATTATGTAAGTTCTATCATTTATTTATATTCTAACAATTGCGTATAATACACATTTATTTAAAAAAATTACCCCCAGTAATAGACTGTGAGCCATTCTGTAGAAGTGCTCTAGAAATGCAACCTTCCTTACATGAAAGGTTACACATTCCAACCTATTTCAAACCATCTGTATGATTATACTAGACACTTTCTGGGTAGTTGGACTTTCTACAGGGGTGGCAGACGGTCCTCAGACCAATTAATACCCCTACCCCCAAAAAACCATGGGGGTACTTTAATACCACCCAATAAAAAGAATACTAATGCATGTCAGATATTCATTGTTTTATATTGGGTAGGGCATGTTATGGTTAATAAGTGCCAGAAATTTCCAATCTCTAACTTATATGGTTACCATAGTAACAGTATTTATATCTCGAAATATTCTCAATTTGACCCACTCCCAAATGTGTCCCTTTGTTCTCAAAGTGAAATATTTCAAAATCTGTTTGGATTTTATGGCTGCTACTTTGTCAAAATTTGTAATATTATGTCTGTATTAACACTAAAACACTTAAAAGTTGATATAATGATCCTATAAATCAATAATATTTATCAAATATAGTCACACATAGCTGCTTTCAGGGAAAAGTGGGCGTGGCACTTTTTGGTACTTGTGCGCTTGTTGCAGCATTAAATGAAAAATGCAGATTACATCAACAATAATTGACATTTAATTAGCATCTACTAATGTTGTGTAACATTGTAATATGTTCATTATCATTATTAGACACTTTAAATATTTTATATAAGTGTTATCCTGACCCTTCCCTATCATAGGTCATCAATGGTCAAATGAACTTTTACTTTAAGTCTTATAGGGTCCTCGGTCTTTTAAGCCTGTCAAGAGTCAAGTCTTACTTATTCATTGACTTGTTCCTAGAATATGAATGGATAAGTTCAAGTCATCTAGAGCTATTCAAGTCATCTATGCTTGTTCAACAATGTTCAATATTTAGAACCATTTTACCATGTTTACTGCAATTGAAAAGTAATGAACAGTTCAATCCTTTTGGTATGATATTTGATGCTAGTGTGAATTGCATAACATTTATGATTAAACTTAAATGAACTTATTTAACTCTGGCTATTAACCCTTCCCTAATATCCTTCACATAACCTCTAAATCATCTTCATATCCATGGCCTAAATTGGGAAGGAGGGAGGGGTTACAAATAGTGACGAGGATAATTTGAATCAAAGCAAGAAGACGTAATACTCAAAACTAGAAAGATTGGAGACCATTTATACCCTTCCTAATATTTTGCCTTATACATAACACTAAAATATATTTTGTCAGACACTTGCTGATTCTTTTATCAATACCTCAACATCAGGCAATGCATGATCTATCCAATGGATTAAAGATTATACTTGATTCTAATATGGCAAAATTAATTTTTCGTATGAATTGCATAGAGCATCATTTTGCAGTTATAATAAAATGCATCCATTCATTCATTGGCTCATAGTTAACAAAAAAGCTATTGTCTGGAAGGTACAGTATAATTTCTATTAGTATTTAGCAAAATAATTGCAAGATAAACAATTTACACATGTTTCTGATATGCTGTATTTTCAATGATTCCTTCAATAGTGGTTCGGTATATGTTTTTGAAATACTTCATATAATTCCTAAACAAATCTGTTTAGTGTATGAAATCAAAGTAGATACATTTGTCCCATACTTGGATATGTTTCAGATACATATAGCAGGTTTATAAATACTTATATTTTCATCAGCGGGCAGGTATAGCTAATGTCCCTGCCTGAGAGGGCAGATATATTACACCTGCCCACTAAGTCATAATCATCATTTGTGTATGATTAGCAATGAGGGAAGTAGCATACTTAATACATATGTTAATAATCAATGATTCGAGAATATGTGGATGAATACTTAAAAAAACAGTAGAATCCTCCTAAGGCCAAGAAAACAAAATTAGTCATGAATACATTCATTTGGTTGTATTCTTTCTAACTCTGGCCAATTGAACAATGTGAACCAGATAAGAAAGATTGATATGGGATAAACAGATAATCATATAGTCAGTTCATGCTATTAGGATTATCCCTTGGCGAATATAATGTATCTTCCCTCAGGACCTAAGGCCTTTGGCCAATAGAAAATATCTTCCCTCGGGACCTACGACCCTCGACCAGATATATTATATTGGCCTCGGGATAATTCCAATACCCTGAACCTCATAGAGGATAATCTCTATTCGTCTTCATCAATTATTATTATACATATAAATCGGGATATAAATATAACCTATAGTAAGAAATTACATTCTCTAACCAGTAATATTTAATTTTAAAATTGGTAAATGATGATTATGTCACAATAGAATTGATGACCATGATTTATTTGAGAATAAAACAGACAAAACAAAGGCTAACAAAAATCTTTAAAAATTTGGGTAAAACATAAATATTTTAAAATTGCTTGTTTTTCATCATTATTACTTCGATCTCCAAACCCCAAAAATTGAGTGTTACAAATTGTTTCAAGATAAAGTATGCCTAATTTCATGAGCAAACTAGTAATCTTGTTGGATATTTTTCCTCGACAATGCCTTATCTAATTCATCTATATACAAACTACTAGATTCCAAATGCTATTTTATTTTTATGGGTGTTCATGAAATGGGTGTTCATGAAAGTAACACTAAACATCAATTTTGTCATAAACTGAACAATGCAGCTAATTGATTCTCCCATCTAAGCAACAGAGCCTGTTTTAATATATTGTAATTTCAAAATTGCCCCTAATGAAGTTCTTCAATCAAATCTAAAATGGACACAACTGGTAATATATTTATACCATATGAGTAGAATGTTTGTTTCTTTCAAATTCATGCTTTCGTTAGAAACATGGATATCACTAATTCATAGTTTTGATCCATATTTAAAATGGTGTGCATTATATATGAGGTTTAATTAATGGGAAGTTTTTAATACAGGGAAATACAATATATCTGAGGGAAATACAATATACCTCCCCGAGCAGGGGTTGAGGGTAGAATATTGTATTTCCCAAGGGTTATACCTTGTACCCAAAATTATTTATCATATACTAATATACGAAAATATGAGAAATTGCACAGAATGAAATTCCTGCAGGGGATTTCTGAGCAGGTGATAAACCTGGTGATACATAGAGATTATCCTATATGAGGTTCAGGATATTGGAACTATCCCGATTCAAATATAATATATCTGCCCAAGGGCGATTATGACGGAGTGGGCAGATATACCATCGCTACTACGCTCACAACAGAACGTAAAGCTATATCTGCCCGCTGATGAAAATATAAGTTCACCTAACCTAAGGCATCAATTATATTCATGCATTTTATTTACCTATAACACTAAGTATAGGATAAATAACTTTTACTGACAAATTATATAAGTGCATGATTACATTAGTCACAACTACTCACTAAAAGGTAACTTATTGCATGAAGAAATGTAATTCTTCATGAAGATTTCAAATATGATATCACTTATTTGACTGAATTTTGAATTTTTAATGATGTAAAGCAAGCTTATTTCTACTTGCATCTAAGTCTATTTCATTGTATAAGTCAACAATTAATAAGGCAAATACATATCACTGGCTTCCCTGATTCATTTAGATTCCTTGCACTTTTAAAATCATCAATAATTCATATAGGGTTGAACTATCGAATAATGAAAACGTTGCAAATGATGTGATAGAAGTTTTTATACTATTTAGCTTGGAAATATTGCTGATATAGTTTTAATGTGATTTTAGGAGATTAAATGTTCTACTGAGGAACTTTGATTATAATGTACAATTTACTAGGATCTTTAACTTTCTGAAAAAGGTCGTGCTAAATTCTCATTGAGACGATGTTAAAAATCTTAATGTTGACTTCCTAAATGTTGAATTCTTTTGATTGTCATGAATTTAAGGTTCACACAAAATCTGAAGATCATCTAGTTTCAAACACAATCTGAATCTCATTAAGTTTGATGCGAAAGCAGTTTTACTTTAATCCAAAATAACAAATATGGTAAATCAATATGTGTCTATGGTAGATGCTAGCGTGTAGTCCAACCAGCACAAGTGCTGCCATCTACCTATCCATTCATCAGTTTAGCACCTAATAAGGTCAGTACTCATGGTAAAGCTTTTGTACCTTGTCTATGGTAAAAATAAATCAAACAGAAATGTTAACTTGACACGATTGGTAATGCCCACCTTGAAGGGTGTAAGGATAAAGGGAAGGGTCAGGATAACACTTATATAAAATATTTAAAGTGTCTAATAATGATAATGAACATATTACAATGTTACACAACATAAGTAGATGCTAATTAAATGTCAACTGTTGTTAGTATAATATGTATTTTTCATTTAATGCTGCAACAAGTACACACGTACCAAAAAGTGCCACACCCACTTTTCCCTAAAAGCAGCTATGTGTGACTATATTTGATAAATATTATTGATTGATAGGATCATTATGAACACTTTTCAGTGTTTAAATGTTAAAATATACATATTGATACAATTTTTGACAAAGTAGCAGCCATAAAATCCAAACAGATTTGCAAATATTTCACTTTGAGAACAAAGGGACACATTTGGGAGGGGGTCAAATTGAGAATATTTCGAGATATAAATACTGTTTCTATGGTAACCATATAAGGTAGAGATTGGAAATTTCTGGCACTAACTAACCATAACATGCCCTACCCAATACAAAATAATGAATATCTGACATGCATTAGTATTCTTTTTATTGGGTGGTATTAAAGTACCCCCATGGTTTTTTGGGGGTAGGGGTATAAATTGGTCTGAGGGCCGTCTGCCACCCCTATAGAAAGTCCAACTACCCAGAAAGTGTCTAGTATTATCATACAGATGGTTTGAAATAGGTTGGAATGTGTAACCTTTCATGTAAGGAAGGAGTTACAATTATCAGAGTGGGCCGTAGTCTATAATGTTTATTAGATAATTAAGTTAATTATTCCACTGAACAAACTTTTTGGGTGTTTATAATTGAAGTAATATTTATCCCATCAAACAAAGGGGTCCATATAAACTGCAACCAGACTCCTATTGTTACTACAAATAATTAGCTACATGATAACAATTTGTACTCAAGAGCCAGAGTTACTGGTTGTAGTTTGCACACTTCGCAAACAAAGTCCAAGGGATACAAAGAATGTCCACCATTTCTCAATATTATGTTGTTCCAGTCAATACTCAAATACTGATACAATTAGTGACTTAAGTCTCCAACTGTTTTGTGGATGGTGTTTGGCATTCAGGGTTCAGCATTTGGTGTTTGTTGTTCAGTGGTCAAGACCGTCTACTTGCTTAGATGTTTGGGATTCACTATGCCCTGACACCGTGTCTTGTATTAACACAGTGCTGAAATGATTTAATTGTTATCAATTTGTTTTTGTTCTATATTTTAAAATTGCATAGTTTATGTTCCAACAATGTGCATGGTGGAGTAGCTCCTGTGAGATTACTGATAGATTTAGAGCCTGGAAAACATAATTTATAAGAATAGGGTTAGCTTGAGAAAATAATAAATTGACTGCACTTTTGTAATTGAACCAAGTGGTAAAAATTTGTGATATGTTAATGCCTTGTTTAACTGCTTTTAACTACATGCTTACTGTTTCTTTCAGTTTGTATCTTTTGAGATTCTGACAAAACAAGCGTGGAACTATCTTCCCGAACATTACTCTACAGACTATCGCCCAATTACTCACTTTGTGTGTGGAGGAATATCAGGATGTGTCGCTAGTGTGGCATGTCAGCCATTTGATGTGACTCGAACACGACTTGTTGCTCAGGGTGAACCCAAGGTAACATTTACTAGGATAGGAAAATTGTACCTATATATTATGAATCAATTAAGACAGGTGTGGACAGCAAACACAAATTCACAGGATAAATATGATATCCTATGATGGCTACCATTTTAATTCACTCATGGATATCGCCCATCTCCAATCATGGATAAGAATGGTATTTTTCAAAAATCATGGGATATCCTCTCTGTATCTATGTTTCCCCTTATTCAATGATTTATGAATATTTTTTAAGATTTACAATGGCATTCTTCATGCATGGAAATGTATGCTGGCTGAGGGACCACTAACATTTTATAAGGGCCTGGTTCCAACTCTAGTCCAAGTGGCACCCTATTCAGGGTTACAGTTTGGTGTTTATTCCCTTTTCAAGAACATTTGGAACATGACTCTGCCAGATGGGGAGCACCATTCTAAATATGCAGGTATTTTAGAAAAGAAACAATTTAAAACAAATTTCTAGTTACAAACTTGATGTAAATATGTATTGTAGGGTTTGAAATGTATAGCTTGAATAAAGTAGTCCGATTGCCAGCTTTTATGAGAAAGGAATATAATTTTAAGAGGTCTTCTAATTACTAATGAAGTTTGAAATTTTGACAATTTTATCAAGATCTGCAAAATTTGATTTTGAAAATGCCAATTTTGATCAAGTAGAAATGTCTGATTTCATTTATTTCCCACACTCATGTGACATTCATATATGTGTGTATGTATGTGTAAAGGCTGTTGGATTAAATTCCAGGTATGCTTGAAAGTTTAATTTGTGGCTTTGGTGCAGGAGTCGTCGCAAAAGGTGTCATCTATCCATTCGACCTAATCAAAAAAAGACTTCAAGTTCAAGGTTTCGAAGAAGCTCGAAAAACATTTGGAAAAGTGAGACATTATACTGGATTATCGAACTGCACTAAGTGCATCATACGAGATGAGGGACTGAAAGGCCTATATAAGGGCCTCAGCCCAAGTTTGATCAAAGCTGCAGCAGTGACAGGTTTGGCTTTCTTTGCATATGAACAATGTTGCAGTTTTATTGTTATGGTCAAGTCCAGTTGATGATGGCCTCTGCATGCTATAGTTAAGGATATAACATAATATGAATACGTAGACTGCTGATGTGATGCGACTACCTCTGCAAGCTGATTCATAATTTATGACATTTTGGGACCAAAATTGATTATGTTTGGGGAGGGGGTAGAATAAAGAAGTCTAATATGTTTTGTTAGGATCAGCATGCACTAATGATTAAAATGAACCAACCAGAATTAATCAGTACATGTTGATTATATTGAGAGGAAGGAGGGTTAGTCTGGACTGAGGATGTAAAACTTTATATTTAAACTCGTCCCTTAAGCTCCATAAACATCAGAAACTTGAAAATGCACAATGAACTTATTACCAGGGTAAAGTTTATCACTAATTGTTCACTGCACAATGTTTTATGAATTTTACGATGAACCAGATGAGTTTCAACAAGTTTGAGATCTAACTTGACAAGATTTTAAACCATAGATCTGGGGCCAAACTTATCTGGGTTTTTGTCTAATAATAATGCATTGTGGGATAAATCTTTGAATTTATCCCTACATTTGTAAATTCAACCTCTCAGGAAACTGAATCCCCCCATTGTGGGATCCACAGCCTTTACTATCCTTTTGGAATAGTTCAGACTGTGGGATACTGACTGGAATAAATGTTTCCTTAAACCCTAAAATGTACGGACCAATTAAATTATTTACAGAGTTCTATTGACCATGAGTATCATGGGAAGGCATTACCTGCAGTTACATGATTACATAAGCAGACAAAGCCTAATGAGTGTGACCAAACACTATTCCCTCACAAATAATCCAAGTGTTGACATTTGCATGATAATTATTGTTTAAAATTCTAAATTGGAAAACAATAAGAAAAAGAAGTATGTCAACATTATCATAGTTATTAATTTTCAATATAAAAACAAGAACCATCAAGATAAATAAAAGTTTTCCACATAATGAATTCATTGAATTAAAGTTTACAAAGGGGAAAACAGGCCGGTGCATTCTTAGGCACTAATTTATTCCTCCATATACACTGATTTACTTGGAGAATGCACTGGCTAGGAACATGTTCTGCCTCATGATATATCAGAGTCTCTCAAAAGCGTTAGGTAAAGAGGGACTCTGATAAATCAGAATGGAATCCCCCAAATCTGCCTGAGCACTCTGCTTGTTGCAGGGATCCTTTGATTGGTCGATCCAATTGCGTTTTTTTAAAAAATAGCTAACAAAAATGGGACTATTGTAACACAAGTGTGATGTTACAAAAGACGAATTAATAGTCACGATTCAATACCAATTAATTAAATTAAATATATATGCATTTTTGAATTTGTATATGTCACTTTTTGTAATCAGCATTTGGCATCAACAGCTACACCATCGAGGTGGTTTTATTTTGCATTATTTTAATCGTTACTCGTTAGCTGTCTCAAAATATCTGGAAAGACCTAAATTAATCTCTCAAGTGGTCACTTATAGAAATGAAAAAATGGGAACAGCAATTTGACCATGAGCTTTCTCTTGAAAGCCCATGATTTTACCAATGCTGCCAATAAAATCTTTCGAAAAAGTATCTTTCGAGGTGTATTTTTACAGAAATAATAGCACAAAAACAAACCATATCAGACTCAGGATTACCCTGCATGCAGAGTTGAATTATAAAATACAACAGACGAAGCTCTCTTTTAAGTAGTGAAATCAAACAAATGAAAAGGGTAACTCAGGATTGAACATTTGTGACTTCTTGATTGCAGTCAATGCGCTAAGGCTCTGGGCCAGTTATATGTGCAGTTTTTGTTTTGTTATAATATATGTATTTCTGAAGTATGTAACGAAACCAATAAAGCTCCCATCCTTGAGTTTTCACATGCTGAACTATAACTTATTGAACATTATTTTAACGGTACTTTGAATTTTGAATATTGGAACCATTGTCATTCATCCTCTGGATATAAAGTTTATTTAAATTGGTGATATTTTCAATCGCCCAAGCCAAATCAAAACACTTGCCAAATTAAACACAAATACAATTAAAAGATAATAATGAGAGTTTGTTAAAGTTGTAGTTTAATGATAATGTGATAATATTACATGTAAATTATATTATGGTCCAAAGTCTAAAGACAAGTCACTCTCCATATGTGCAGCTATGAGACACCAATATGAAGATAACAGGTGTATAAATGACTTAAGTGTTACATTATATGTGAATAAATTATGAATTAAAGTGACGCATGAAATGTGGAGAAATGAGTTACAGTACATGTAACTATAAAAATATTCAAGAAAACTTTGTTCATATAGGTATTATGCCTACCCCTTTGTCTGGTGATAACTCAAATACCTGTCAATACTTTAACCTAATGTTTGTCAAGCAAATTAATGATTTCAATTTCACTCCAAACTGATGGTTTTGCACTTTGGATTACATTTACAATTTTGAGGAAATCACTCTTAAAACGTTTAAGTTCATGGTTTCAGAACTTTAGATACACCAGGCAAAAACTTTTGGAAACTATTTAACATGCAAAATTCCTCAAACTAATATTTGGAGATTCAGGTCCATTGTAATATGGAAAAATGATAAACCTTGAAAAATAAACCTGAGTTACTTGAATAATATTATACCTCACTAATTCCAATGCAAGTCATTCAGAGGAATCATTCAAATATAATATTGAGTGATAATATAGTAAGTATTATGTGTGATGAAATTGTGCCAACAGTCATTGTGCAAAAAATGCACAGTATGTAAATCTGGTGTTCATTGAACAGTGAATGTTGCTGTTTTGGAAAATTTGTATTATTCTGAAAGACTGCTTGTTAATAACTTCTCTAAGAAAGAAGTTTTCATTGCATATAGGTTGTTCTTTCACTAAAACATAATTTTCTGTAGTTGGCATAATTTTTAGAGTAATTATTACTATGTACATGGGTACATATTGAAATGTAACTTTTCTCTTTTTATTCTAATAATAGGATGAATTGTTTTTTGTATTAATGAATATTTGTTGTTGAAGAATGACTAAAATAAAATAAAATAGGATTTACAATATGAAGCTATATGATTGTTGAATTATTTTATGAATTATACCGGTATGTGTAATAAAGTTAATTTTACCGAGAAACATATTTAATACTGGTCATTTTAAAAGTCTTAAATTTTCAAAGATAGCAAAGATCACCCTCAAATAGTTGCAATGAATGTTAAACTTCTGAATTTGGGTATTATTGTGCCTCGTCCTGTAGTTAAAATTAAATTAAAACTTTATTGATGAATAGATGTCAGTACAATCAAGACAATAGTGAAGTTGTCCATATTGTGCTGACACCTATACAACTTGTAAGAAGTTTTTTTGATGTGTGATAAAAAGCTACTGCAAAGGTGCATTCCAGATATATAGCTGTGTAAGTGCATATCAATAATAGATATTAATATTGATTGAAAAGTAAAAATTACAATACTGAGCATAATAGAAATATTTTTAAAAACATTTTGCATGTTTGTTTCACGCAGTTCAAAATGTACATTTCTCTTTACTAGTAAGGAACCGAAAATTCTGAGCTCATAGATTCTAAACATCCAGAAATGTTGGTCTAACCTTTCATACATCAGTGGAATCCAGAGATAAGTATTTTTTGCTTTCCCATTCAGTTCTGGTCCATTTAGCCTACAAACAGCCCTATTGGTGGATGCCTATATGTTACACTTTAGGTGCTGTTGCTAACGACAACCGGGTGTCTCATAAATTATCTTTGAGACATTTCAGCCTCTTAGTATCTATAGAGAAAACACATTATTGCTTTTAAAGTATATCGCAGGCTTTCCCATTTGTGTTGAGAGCTATAAGTCATAGGATGAAACATGCTAAGTTCATAAAATGTATTTTGAAAATGAACCTCACCTGTCAAAAATATTTTATAGATCAACATGTTTTCAGCAAAAGCAACACATAAAAATACAAAAGAGAAGAATATGAAGTTAGGTCCCTTGTAAATTGTTTTCGATTTTCAGTTTTGTTATCATTTTTTGTTATCAAGCTCCAGATATATTGTTTGATTTTATTATTTAACAGTTCTCCCATGTACAAAATGATTCGCATATTTTATGAAATATTTCAAAAGAAAGAATTCAATTAATCTCCAACAACTGTTTTGAAAGGTTTTACTTTGACTTGATACAAACCAGACCTGTTTAGAAGTGTGAAACAACTGTTATGTTAAAGATAGAATCAGTTCAGTAAATTGTGGCTTAGATAGGATGACAAATTAGTTACAATGCTGTGACAACTCTACCATAAAGCCGTACAATATTGCAGTATTTTTGTACACTAAATGAAATTAGAAAAATATGTTTTGTGATATTGCATGCCATGACGTGGTGTATCACTGAACCCTGTTCTAATTAAAAACTATGAAATCAATCTAGCTCCTTGTCCTATTCTCAATCAAATGGTCCTTGTATGACAGATTATGTACCATTTAGAGATGCTTTAATGTCCATCATGTTTGGCACCTTTATTATATACTTTTGATAAAGGTAGCCTGTTTTATTGGGAATATTTTATGCTTGGGTACTTTCCAAGTGACTACTTTTATTAAGAAAATGATCTATGAATAACTAAAAAGAAAAGAACTCTTAATTATAAGAACGTAACATCCCATCTGCAAATTCCACAGTTAAGGTAGTTCCACACCAAAAAGTTGAAATAAAAAATGAAAAATTGCCATAATCTTTAATATTTTGATTTGGTCCAATGCTTTCTTGTTTTAAAAATGTACAATTTACAATTTCATAATTATAATCATGAAAATGCTCACCATGCGAATCTACCTTAACTCATTTCTTTGAGAAAATAATAATTGAAACATCATCGAAAGTGTGTTTATGCTTGTTGGGAGGTACTTAAAATAATTGTTTGTTTGATAAAAATAATTCGTAGTAGAATAACAAACGTTTGAGGCAAATGTAAGTAAGCAATCACCCCACCTATACACCCAATCAAGATAACGATAAATCAAGAATGTGTTGAAATAGAAACTTGGCAAAGTAATTAAAAGTAAGAGGTACAAGGGAGACTGGGATAAGCCAGCTATTAAGATTACTATGTGATAAAAATCGAGACAGGAAAATCAAATGGTCTCGTTGTTTTGTTGTTGCGATAATTGAGATTACAGATGGGATAGGGGTTCGGTATAGAAGTTCTGCTTTATAAGTTAACAGTTCTTTGTTCTTGTTAAAAATATGTAACATTTTTAAAATGCCATAGCAGAAAAAATGAATGAGAAATGGATTTTGGGGCATTGTTGCTTAAGAAAGCAAATTCATAAATATTCATGAATGCAAGTTGAATGAAACAGATTGGTACTAAGGGAAATAGCACGACACAAAATGTTTCTGGATTTCCTATTACAAACTGTGTTTAAGA